TCAGGACAGAAAGTGTTAAAGCTACACAGTGTAAATACAGCAATCTAGCTGTTGCTTAACCAAGCAATTTAAAGAAGCCCAAACAGTCAAAACTGCTTTCTCCCATACCTTGTTTAAAACATTGGTTTGTTTATTTCCAGTGAAATGATACTTAAATCTCTTCTGAAGAGGATTCAGCATGATCTGTATTGGAAGGATTATTGGTGGCGATGGGGGTAAAGAGTACTTTTCTGGCAGCTGTTTAGGTTTGGTTAACAGTTCATCTCTAAGTTTGACAGTCAAGGATGAATGAAGACATTTTAATTCTTCCAACATCATCATTTCAATAAAATCAGTTTATAAAAATGAACATTTCTTAATTCTACATCATTGCATAATAGTGTCTTCAGCCAATCAGTACAATTACTCAGATATGAGGGATACACAAAATAAACACAGAAACCGACCACCATCAGTATCAAACACAGAGGCTATCCAACAGACACGTTTATTCATAGTTGTTAAAGAAGAATAAAAGACTCACAAGAGTAATAAATGCAAAACATGATTTCCCATTTTCATGTAATTGGTTTAAGGGACCCAGTGTGTGAGATCAAAACTGTTATCAGCCCAGGGTTGTGCAGAATGGCCTTGTATCTTCCCACTCCAGGATAAAAAAGAAAAGTCACAATCACTCCAGGAAAAACTGCTTGGTTGAGCCTTGGCTATGCTTTACTTAATTCACAAAATAATGGAACTGAAGGAGCAGCAGTGCCTCCTGATTGACCTCAAAGGGAGACTCGTGAAGCTGCACAAGGAAAACCTTTCTCTAGTCTCCCCTTTTTGCAGTCTACTTCCAAGACATGCACCTTTTGCTTTCCCTCTTTTCCTTCTGGAATGAGACATATTGAAGTAATTAAGACTGATTTCAAATAAGGCTAAGAAAAGCATTAATTGTGTAAAATAAAACATACACCACCTTTTTCTATTTTTTTTTCATTAACATGGATAACCTTACTGAAGCATGCAAGGCCTCATCCTCACCAAACCTGAACTGTCAGCTACCAGGAGATCACTACATTTGATGACTTGGAGGTACAATATTGCTACTGCCAGAACTTTGGCACCTATCACTTTCTAAACAAACAAACAAAAAACATTCTAACATTAATAACAAAGTAACATAATTGAAATTATCTTGTTTTTAGGGAGAACAAACTTCAATAATCCCCCTTGAGAACGTGCATATCTCAATGTTTATTATCCTTGACAAAATACACCACAGCTACTTAAAAGGATACGAGGTTTGCAATTTCAGAAGCTGACAAAACAGCATCTCCAGGTTGTTGTACACATCAGGAGCACTGGCTGGGGCAGGAAGACCAAATGCCTGAGACTGTGGTGGCCCCACAAACGGCCAGGAAAGCTGGGCTAGGACCTCTTCAAAGTCACTGCAACACAAGATAAGTCCTCTAACACACACTTACAGCACAAGGCAAAGACAAGGGAGTGAGAGTGCATCTCCTACCTCGACAGCTTATCCTTCAGAATTTTATGCCAGAATTTAACAGTGGATCTCATAAAAGCAAGCAGGTGCGAGCAAGATGACTCCTGAAGTTTAATATCCAGTTCTGCCATGAATGCGAGAGTACTGGCTGCCTCTGGAACATTGTTGGTCATGAGGTATTGCTGAATGCTATCACTATAAAATACAAGAAAATCAAGGCCAAAAATTCATTAAAGGTAACAGAAAATAATCATTTATATGTTGAAAAATGAAACTTTCTCTAATCTAAAACATTTTAATGATGGACAAGCTAGTCTCAGAACACACAAGCAGTACACAGAAACTTCACCTCAGCTCTTCTATTCGTGAAATCCATTTAAGATAGGCCAAGTGTCGTTCAATCTCTTCCACTTGACTAATCAGTACATGGAGCTCTTCCATCCAGGGCTGAGCTTTCTCTAAGTGGCTACTGATTGACTCAGATAGAAGCGTTTCTTCCTCTAGAAGCCGACTCAGAGACTTTTTAGAATCTTCTGCATTCTTCAAGGCATTCTGAATTCTTTTAGGGACTTCTGATGAAACTGTAAGGACCTACATTCACAGAGAAGAAGCATTGTGTCTGACACAGAAACACTGCACTATGTACAGTAGTACCATTTCAGATATTAATACGATGCTTTAATGTAGTTGAGTTATTTAATCAGTCATAGACCATATACAGAAGGGTGGGCAGGGAGGAAAGAATGATGCTTACCTGTTCTTCTAACTGCTTTTTATTCTCAGATAGCTTATTGATAAGGTTGTCTAGCTTCCTCAGAGAATCATAGTCATTTCCAACTTCTCTTTCCACAAATTCAGAAACATAGTATGGGATATCACAGTGATCTAGATCTCTAGTGACTTCTTTCTTTCCAACAGCAATGGTTGCCATGTCTTCGTTCTCTGCAACACTGATCATACAATTTCTAATTGGTCACTACTAATAGAACACAAACAGCTATTCATCTACTGAGGACATGAATACCATGAAGAGCTGGGCACTTCAATGTAGACTGAAACTTAAATAAGCCAGTCAAGAAATATCCTGGACAATTTGCTGCCCTAAGTCTTAGCTGAGGTATGATAAAATCATGCTTACACATCCAAATGGTGATTTATCATACATTAACTACTGAAGAGAAACATGCCTGTTAATTTCTTCCTTCCCCTAAAGCGTGCATGTCGTGGTTTAAACCCAGTCAGGTAACTCGTTCGCTCACTTCCCCCCTTTCTTGCCCTCCCCCTGCTCCCGGAGGGACGGAGAGGAGAATCGAAAAGAATGCAACTCCCACGGGTTGAGATAAGAACAGTTTAGTAACTAAGGTATAACACAAATCACTACTGCTACCACCAATGATAATAATGATAAAGGAAATAACAAGGGAACAGAATACAACACCTCAGCACCAGCCGACCGATAACTCGCCCCCCAAGCCTGACCAAGCTCCGACCGATACCTCCTCCAACCCTGCAGTCTCCCAGCCCTTCCGTCTAACTCCCAGTTACATCCTGGGCATGACGTGCTGTGGTATGGAATACCTCTTTGGTCAGTTTGGGTCAGGTGTCCTGTCTCTGCTTCCTCTCAGCTTCCCCTCCTCCCTGGCAGGGCATGAGGCTCACAAAGTCCTTGGCCAAACCAAAACATCATTGTTATCAGCTCTGTTCCCGAGCCGAAAGTCAAAACACTGCACTGCACCAGCTACCGAGGAGGGGAAACATGACTGCTACTGCTGAACCCAGGACAGTGCATTTTATTAAAAACAGTACAATATATATAGAGTTTGTCCATATGCAATATAGAGAACTTACGGAAAAATACTGGAAAAAGGTAATTTTGTAAAATACAAAGGAAGAGGACAACATTCTTCTTTACCTTTTCATAGTTTAGGATGTTCCAGAGATATCAACTGATTACTGACGTATTACTAGCAAAATATCCATTCAGGTTTTACAATGATTTGTGAAGCAAAAGCATCACTGAAATACACCGTGTGGGTTTTCTTATAAGTAATGGAAGAGGCATATGCTGACCCACAGTTTTGGCAGCATCCAGAGAAAAACGGACCTGAAATTGAGAGTACATGTATTGAGAAATTGAGATCATGTACAGTGAAACACCTGACTATGAGCACTTGGCTCGTTCAGTTCTCAACTTCCAAACCAGTAATTAAAAATTAAATGTATACACTTGCACATTATCTGCTACAAGCTTTAATAAAGCAAAAACTCGTATTAAACGAACAGTGAAGTGTAAGAAAACAGTACAGCTGACGAGCCAAAGCTGGAGAAGCAATAGAGCACCAGGAAGAACAGACCGGGAGACCGAGTTAGGAGTGAATAAAGAAAACAAAGCAGTAAAAAGCACAATGCTGTTTGCAGCAACGAAAACAACACCGCGGAAGACTGCTGACCCTGCGGCGCTCTCTTCTTGCTGGAGGAAAGGGTGAGGATACAGGAGGAGAGGGACAGGAGACGGAGCACTCTCCAGCCACCCCCGCTCAAGCACGCAGCCCTACACCCACCTTCGCCAGGAGCTCCGGCAGGTTCCGCGGCGGTCCCTGCCGCGCACAGCCCGGGCAGCGCTACCGAGCAGCCCGTTCCCCGCCAGCGGCTCAGTCAGCGCTCCTGACCCCTGCTGTGGGCTCCGGCCCCCGGGACAGCGCTTGCCCTCCCCGGCTGCACAGCGGAGCTCGGCGTGCCGGGCCCGCCGGCCGCTCCCCGCGGTGCTCCCGCCCGGTTCCGGTCCTGCCGCGTCCGCTCAGCACCCTGTCAGCCCCGCGCGCAGCCGCGCCGCGTCGGCAGCCCAAGGCCGCAGGGGAGGGTACGTGAGCGCAGGTCCGCCTGGGGGCGGGACGCAGGGCGCACGCGCGCTGACACTCCCCCCCTCTCCCCTCCAACCCCCGTGTCCCGGGTGCGGCGCCCCGGCAGTGACGGCTGCGCTCTGACCGCAGTGCGCATGCGGGGTGGGGCAGCGGTCTGAGGCGCCGCGGCCTTCACGGCACCCTGGCGGCCGCGCTGTGGGGAAGGCTCGGAGGGGCAGGGCACGGCACGGGGACAGAAGCAGGTGGTGCTGTTCCCGTGTGGAACGCGCGGCCCCGCAGGCTCCGGAGCCTTCGCCGCTTCATGCCGCCCGAGGCACGTCCCCTCCTGAAGGCCCACGGACCAGGCAGCCGAGCAGCGGCGACCGGCTGCTGTGGACACGGCTTCAGCAACACGGGTGTTGCTTGGTGTAGGAAGAGGCTGAAAATGCAATGTCTTGTTTCAGAACGGTTTTATAATATATAGGGCTTTTGCCTGCGAGTAGCCCAGCTCATTCCCTGCCAGCAACACAAAGACGAGATGTGTAAAGAAAGGAGTTACAGGCAGACAATTAAGACTTTTGTCTTCATTTATTTTCAGTACCTGTTCTCTGGTCAGGTAAAACAGAGCTGGAAAATACACGCAAGTATTTTCCCAAGGAAAAGGACTAGTACATCTTTACAGCACATACAAAGCCTTGCTAAGAATCCTCTACTGCACCAGTGCAAATGCTGCCAGCAAAACCTCCTGTGATACAAATGTTAATTGATACGTTAATTTTGTTGTACCTTATCTTCCTAAGCTGTCAGTTAATGTATGTGAAGAGACTCTAAAGTGTGCTGAACTCATGAAAACATTGTTTGCCAAAGAAAAGGCAAGCTAAACATTCTTCCAGGTCTGGAACTATTAAAAGTCCATTTCTTAAAGATGCATCCATATTACAGCTCAAGCAACTTACTCATTAAAAGCACCAGTCACTAAGATCTATATTATAGTACAGCCACCATCTTGCAAATGACTACTGAAGTGAAATGCTAGCACTAATAAAAACTTAAAAAAATACAAATCTCTTACTACCAGTCTTTAAAGAGTTGTGCAGAACACGTTAATAGGAAAATACTTTTCCATATGTTAAAATCCCAGTGATCTCTGTAGTTCGCTCAGCGTAACCAGGTCGTATTCAGTTGTGTCTGGTTCTTTATGCTTGTGTCCATTTTCAGGACTTCTCGGATCGCCATGGTAGCATAAGTGGATGGGGGAAGAGAGAACTCCATCTTCAGTGCCCTGAATTTACCGTCTATCGTAAGGGGGAAAAGGAGACAACACAAAGCAGGAGAAAGTTTAGGGCGTAAATAAGCAATGATTGTCCTGGATGCCATGTAATGACTGAAATCTTCTACAACCAAACCCCCAACCCATAAAGCAAAACAACCATCACCACACTCCAATTTACAATCCACAGTGGAATTTCATAAAACATCTTATTTGACAACTTCTTTTTAACATTCTCTCTCACCAAGAAGTAGAGTTTCAGGCATTATTGTCTTTTAAAAGGAAAATAAACTTTTATTCTTTCCTAACTGAACTCTTGGTCTCTCCACTTTTTTGGAGCAGCAGTGTCACAAGACCTTGCGACCAGGGTTGCATATATAAAAAAAACTTCCACTGAATTCTGCTGAGTATTTGACTCGGTTTCTTGTGTTCAGCACAAATAACGCATGCTCTAGCATACAGACAATTTGTGCCTTGATTCCACCTTCATGCATTTCGCAAACACTTCCTGCTAAGCATTTACTCAATTTTACAGTTGCCCATCAGAAAACGTCACAGTCAATGCAGACCACTGGAAGGATTGCTTGCACTCCTGAGAAATAAGGGTCCTTATTTAGACAACCAACTTTGGGTATCTTTAATACCATTGCTTACCAGTCTTGCTAAATGAAAGCTCTTCCTTAAAAAAGCTTTCCACATGTAGCAGTTCAAAGCAACAGACAGATCAAACTTCTATTCTGCAAACATCATCAGAGAAACCAGCTTACCTGTAGGAAGAACTGGTAATGGTTTTCCTTCCAGCTTATCCAAATCCGTAGTAAATAATGGGATTCTGGGGTCATCATAGGCTACTACCTCCCTTTATAACAGAAATAAGATTTTGTAATTATTATTTTATTACAGTACTTTTTATTGCTATTCCAACCTGGCAGTTACAACTGAAATGGAACTGATTTTCTAGTAAGGTAGGGTGGCGTTTATGCTGCAATAACTGTTTAAAATTGTTTAACTGCAATAAAGCTTTATGTAGAAGCCTTGCCTCTGATGAGGATTATAAAAGAAACCCACCTGCTTTCCCTCAGGGGCTGTCAGGATTAAAACAAAGTGTAGTTTTGTAGTTTTTGTCTCCCTGTGCATCACTGATCGTCTTTCTGCACATTTCTACTATCACCTGTTTAAATCACTTATTTGATTGCCTTATGACAGCTAGGCTGGATCTCTGCAACAATGATTTAGTAAGTTTAATCGACAGACAGTGAACTGGACACCAGCTTTCTCATAGGAAGACTCCAAAAAGGCACATTTTGAATATTATCTGTCATAGTTTCAACATAAATAATTATCTATGAAGTGTGTAGGCAAGCCCATGCAAGGAGTATAATAACTAAATAGATGTCTTGACACTCAAGCATCACAGAACCAGAGGACCAAGGAAGAAATAAGGCTATGGCTCAACTTCAACTGCCTAAAAAATGTAGGAGAAAAGCACGTATTCCCTTATATGTGCTTTCTCCTCCCTATCGATGCTTCAGTCTACAGATATCCCATAGGTCAGCCTAATGGTTCTTGCACTTAAGTCATTCACATATAGAATCATTTAGGTCTATGCTGTCAATTCGAGTGTAATTTCCTTTATCCTTCTACTCACCAGTTGACATTCTGAGGTCGAATGATAATCTTTCTGTATGCTCCAGAAAGAGAATAATCTCTGATCTTATGCCTCATGTTGTTGATATCAAGATTGTCATCTACTAGCATTTCCTTGTAGGCCTCCCCAACTGCAAGAAAGAAAAATATTTAATAGGAGAGAGCTTAGTGCCGCTGATCAAAACAGTCACTTTCATGGATCATTCCTTCCTTTATATGGAGCAGGTTTTAGCATAAATGGGATAAATGTTGCACAGAAGTTTAAAGTTACTTATTGCAAATCTTGTTTGCTTCTACACCCTGATTAGTAGAGGCAGTAACTAAGAGAGAATCTTTCAGATCAGAATTTCAGCTGAAAACAAAATTTACAAAGTATTTTATTGACATTTGATTGAGATCCCACATGCTTTCCAATTATCTTCACATGACTCATCTGAGGTGTACAGATTAAAAACAATATGGGCCAGACTGCCCACTGCTCTATCTCTGAAAAAGCAGCAGAGTGAAATGAATTAAGAGAGCCCCAGAACAGTCAGCAGGGATCTTTACACTGCCAACAGGAAGAGTAACTCTTGTACCGTCTGGCATCCTTCAGTAAGGATGTGGGCATGCACACCTGGGGAAGACAGGGAAGGCAATGGAAATGCAAGAATACTGCAGCTAAAATGCTGTCTGGTGCCTCTGATTTGCAGCACAATCACTAGCATTACTTCATGCAGTTGGCAATTTTAAATAGGAAAGCATTAGGTTTCCTGTGGTCAAACCTCAGTATAAATGTATTGAATGTAAAAAATTGCAGCTTTTCTTTCCAACCTTTTAACTTGGTGTTGTTCAGAGCCACACTTTATCTTCCAAGTGTTTCAGAAATGGGGATAAATGGGATTGTGGCTCTGGGACAGGCAGAGCCTCCAGAGACTTGACCAGTCATCTAAGGACAACCAAATCCAAGAGCAGTTCAACCCAATATTGAGGAAAACAAGCCTACATATTGGTAGACTGATTTGGCTAAGCAGGGGACTCATGATCAAGCTCCTATGTAAGGACACACACAGTAGGTGAAAGCTGGAGTTGAAATCAGCAACAGACATCAAGAGCAACAGGAGTTAAACTGCAGTATCAGGAATGAAAGAATAAAAGGGAAGAGTTGGCCTGCTTCTCATCAGGGCAGCTGGCCTTGTGACAGACTGATATTCTCAGTGCCTCCTTTGCCTCAGTCTTGACCAGCAAGGTCTTCCAGGCCTGTGTTCCAGGAGCCAAGGTTCAGAAAAGATGAGGACTACCAACAGCAGAAGATTATACAGGATGAGTGGGCTGGCTTGTGTCATGGTAAAGCTTTTCTCTGTCATCTCTGAAAGATCATGGAGATCCGGGGAGGTCCCAGGTGACTGCGGGAACCCAAGTGTTGCACCCACCTTCAGAAAGGGCAAGAAGGTTGAGCTAGGGAATTACATACTTGTCGGACTCACTTTAGTCCCTGGGAAAAATAATGGAGCTAATCCTCTTAGAACATGTTTCTGGGCACACAATGAGAATAACAGTGAGCATGGTTTTACTGAAGTGGGGAAAGGAAAATCAAAAACAAAACAACCTACCAATCTTACTGCCTTCTATAATGAAACTATTACAGCTGTAGATGAGGTGAGAGCCATAACTTTTGCCTACTTCGCCTTTAGCGGGACTGCCAACATGTTCCCACAGGAACTGGATACAAGGATGCTGTTAGAACATTACATTGGGTGGACTGCTAGACAAGTAAAGAACTGTCTGGCCCATTGTCTCAAAGGATAGTCACTACTGGTTTAGGCACTACCCAGAAGCTCACTGCAAGCAGAGCTCCTCAAGGATCTGGAATGTGTCCTGTTAAATACTTTTATCAGCACACATGGAGGAGGAGCTCGAATTCACTTCAACAAGTTTGTGGATAAAATCTATCTGGAGTGGTGGCAGTCAATACACCCAAGGGCAGGCTGCCATTCTGGGAGACTTCAGGAAGTTCAGCAGGGACAAAGTCTTGTACCTGAGAGCAATTAACTCTTTGCAGTGGTACAGGCAAGGGGCCAGCCCTGCTGACTGTCACCTGAGACTCCTTGTCAGAGTGCCCTGGAGCAACAAAAGCCAATAGCAACAGGAGCTTAGCCAGTAACTACATCAAGAAAGGAAACTACTGCCCTTTACTGGGCACTCATGAGACTGCACTTAGAATGATGTGTCCAGTACAAAGCAGATGCCAATAAACTTGAATGAGTCTATGGAGGGGCACCCCAATGGCCAGGGATTTAGTCCATGCCCTGTGAGGAAAGTCTGAGAGACTGGTTGTCTTTAGCTTAAAGAAGAGAAGACTTAGAGGAACTTGGAGACTGTGTGTTCCTGAAAGTTTCAGACAAAGCTCTGAGCAAGCCGGCCTGAATACAAGCACTGATCTTTCTTTGATCTAAAGACTGGACCAGAGGGCATCCTGAGGTCCTTTCCAACCAAAATGATTTTGCAACTCTATCCCTTAAAAATAACATCATGTTCCATGCAGATTAATTGCAGGTCACCCAACCTATTCATCAAAAACAATTTAGATACAATACACTGTATATACAGGATATGAAAGAGATACTCTTTTTAAATTATTATATTTTTAACATTCACATTGGTTAATATTTAATTAAACAGATCTGATTCTTTTTCCTAACTTCAGGCATTTGCTTGGATTACAAATTCTAGAAGTTTAGTTTGTTTTCTAATTTAAAAACAAAATGCATGCACTTTGTAAGTAACATTTCACTGTTCTGTTCCCCTTGTGCTGAAATAAATAATTTTCCCTCTGGAAAAAAATGCATTCTTTGGAAAAGCTACTTGCTAAAAAGAAATATGAAACAGATTTATGTTACATGAAACAAGTACGCAAACTATTAGTATCACGGTGGGAGAGGGTGACAGTAGATCAGAGATCTGAAAGAGTGTATTATTTTAATGGTGACCAAGGTTGCACAGATCTGACCTACCTTTTAAGGAAAATATTAAAGCGGACTTACATTTTCTGAGTAAGTACATAACTTAAGAGTCAGACTTACTTTTGTGCTTTGGATAAATAACATCAAATCCAGGCAATGGCATCACTACATCGTGGATAGTGTAGTTATCAACATCTCCTTCTTCGATATGAACAGCTGTGGCTACAGTCAGCACAGAAAAATGAAGTTACCGGTACAGATGCCTGTGACAGGTGACACTGGCTAAATTTGAAATGAACCATGTGATTGAAAGAAGCCCCCTTTGAGAGGGGTAACTACTGCATTTTATCTCCACTTAACAGACAACATTTCCAAGAAAAGAAGTAACAGTCTTCAAGGCTGTCACAGTTACCAACAATCACAGCCTGGTTTCCAGTGACTTTTAAAGCTGATGGAGTAAGGACTGATAGATGAACAGTCCCCCTTACCGGCCATCAGCCATACACGAAGGAGAAATACTGTGGATATTCTCACCCCAGGGAATACCAGAGCAAATACAAGTGAGGAAAGTTTTAAATAGTGTAGCCTCCGCTTTACAAGGTATTAATGCAAACAAAACCTTCTGTGGTTAAACTATCTGTAACATCCTTCCATAGTTCTCCCTAGCTCAACTACGTTTGAGTCCATTCTTGGGAACAATCAGTCCTTCATAGTCTCTCTTCCCTATCCAACTATTTGGAAACACAAGCAAACCCACAGCTCACAGAATTTACTACCTAACTTCAGATTCCTTGCAAAATTTGACGAAACCTACTCAGTGGATTCAGAAATCACTGGAGCAAAATGGGCGAGGCGGAAAGAAAATATGTAAGCAGTGCCACCTGAACAGGTATTCCTAGGAACACCTTATATTCCTAGGAATTTGAACTACACAGCATCACTGTGTTTTTATTTGTCTGATATTACCTCCTTTAAGTGTGAGATCTCCTGGTACAGCTCTAAGCCCATATTCTTCTATTCTCTTGCTCACCATATTATTCCACACATAACTCTGGTAGCTATGAATATACATTAAGCGATTATTTCTTGGTATCTAGAGGTAAAGAAAATATAAAAGTGAAACATTAGAAATATGTATTTTTAGTTTTTTCTTTCAAACAGAACAAAAAATGCATATTTGAAATGTTACCTTTTTCAGCAACAAGACTTACACAATTACTTGGTTTACAGATGTGACTTGTGTTCATTATTTGGAAAATGCGTATGTGAAGAAATAATGCTTTTACACGTTTGAAATTAACACAAAGCCCTCCTGTGCTTAAACAATCTTTTTTTTTTTATTCAGCAGCTCATCAAACACATGGGGCTATTAGGCTATTCTAAAGGACTGGATTTCTATTCAACCTCCCGAAATCTGAAGTAGATTTTGCAGATGTGAAAGCACAGTGTTATTCTAATTACCTTCTTCATAAACAAGAAATTATCCCTCGGCTCCTAATGTGCCCAGTAGTTTGCTGCTGATGAGGTATTTTCTCCAAAGACTTGATCTTGATTACAGCACTTGAAAATGACAGTGAACCCACCACATCTATGCCAAACTCAATCATTAGCATACTTATCAGTTTAATTTATACTTTTAAAGCAACTCTGATACTGAACTTTTGCACAATTCTCAGATCTGTGTTATACATGGTTATATGCTAAGTCTAATTGTATTGCTTCCAACATACAGGAGAGACTGTTGTATAAACTGGAAAGCTCACTATGCACACATTAATCACAGATGTTGTCAGTTACCATGTGGCAATACCTCAAGCAAAAAAGCAAGGATAAACAGAAAGATTTTAAACTTAACCCTCTACCCATCAGGCACCTATGAGTCTATTTCAAATTCATCATGGTGCCATCAAAAGAATGTTTATTCAAGCAAATACCCCACAGCACTTTTACACTCACTATGCCAAATGCAGAGATTATGTTCTTCATTCCATACTTTAAGAGTCCACGTAGAAGCTGTCCTTCCACGCACCTTTTTACAGGTAGTTTCTTGAGGGCTGCTGCTGGATCTTTAGTCTTTGCCCATTCTTCTCTGCATTTCACTAAGTATCCCTTCTCAGCTAGAACAAGGACATGAAAATATTTTAACTACACATCAAAAAACCACCCATCTGACCTTTAGTTAAAACAGCTGAAAACTGGAGTTTCAGTCATGGTAATTACACGTATTAACAGAATCACAGAACAGTTGAGGTTGAAAGCCTTCACGTGGAGTCTGAGCAGACCCTGTGTATTCAGATGCCTTTTAACCCCCACTGCAAGAAACTGCACAATAAGGAAAGGGAAGAAAGGCAGAGTCAGAAGATTGCATCTCCACTGCTAAACTGGATGAAGTTTAGCACATGTAGAGCTGTCCTTGCTAACGTCTTTTTCCATTAAAAGACTCAAAACCTAAGTGTGTTTTTCCTGAACATACAATTCTTGGAGGAGGAGAAGCAGAAACACCTGATGTGTCATTTTTCAGTCCTTACCTCCTGGTCTTGGTTTTAGTATCAAATCCATTACTTCATGCCAATTGTTCTGTAGAATAGCTCTAAGATTCAAACAGGAAAGTGTATTAAGAACTACATATATTTTAAGGAGATATAGCCAACTTACTCAAAAAAAAGAAATATCAGTGGTTAGATTTATGCAGTATTACAAGTAGTGGTATTATGCAAGACACCTGCTGAAGCAAGTTCTTTCTTGAATCTAAACTTAAACCTGGCGTATCCAAGATGCTCGAGAAATGTTCCCCAAAATACTAGGAAGTGATACAGGGATAAAAATAAAATCTAAAATGAACAAAAGGGGTGGTGGGGAGGGATGAAAACAACACATACCTGCCAATCTGATACGTAGGAACAGCTGTGGTTCCAAATCTTTGCATTCCATAGTAATTAATGAATCCAATTTCCCTGAGAGATTGCATTGCTTGCTCTATCTGGTCATCAGTTCCTGTTATGTTTCTAGCATTAAAAAAAGTTAGAGACAGATCATTAAGGGCTTATACTATTTTGTGATCCCCATAATCCCCATAAAGCTCAACATCAACATTATAAAACATGTATCAAATTCATCAGACTCCTGCCAATAGGACTCTTCTTTTTTTAAACACAAGATGCACTGATATCTTTTAACTATTTAAAGGGAAAAAAAAAATAAAACCTACCAAAGCTGTCTGGACTAACATATTACCTGAGAACAACAGTGAAATGGTTCCCTTGCAGTTCTCCTAATTTCAGTGGATGATTCTTGTAACTGAAGTTTCCTAATTTGAAGTTCATCAAACATTTATTCAAATGAGCAAGTCTTTGTGCAGTGATTCTAAAAAGAAACAGACAACAGTGACCAACACATGCTTAGCAAAGCAGATAGTTAAATGAATACAGAAATGCTGGCATTCCAAGAGAAAACACAGTAAGTCCAGCTTCCTCAATTTTCTATTGTTGCCTTTTCAAAGTATTTTAATGAAATATCTAAAAGAAAAAAAAACAGATAATTCTTAAGGCTACTCATACAAGAGAACATGTGTACCATGGCAGGCACTGTTAGTACTGTCTTTCCCTACGTTACAGCAAAAAGCCCTATGTTGCAAAATTGATGTATATGGTATCCCACAAGCTGAACTCTGCTTTGAGGAACTACACCATGAATACACTCTAGTTAGCACAGTCATAAACACAAAGTTAAGTAGATAGCCTCTGTGCAAGCTTAGTGCAGATGAGATCCAATCTGTCACTGGTATCTGCTATTTTTGTTGCTAGTACTTTTGGAAGTGTTCCCTGTTCTTTGCATCAGAGCTTCTCTTTGACACTTCTGCTAAAGTTTGTCAGCAAGTTTATCAACTAGCATGGCCAGCATATGGGGCTGGCAAATGGTAACGTCTCCTCTCCTGCACCATCCTTCTCCATGGCTGCGCAAGAGAGTTGGGTACACTGGCACTATTGAACAGACACCACAAATCAGTACACTCCTCCCCAGTCAACACACTGAAGCTCTGGGACACAACATTAAATGTGATCATGTTAAAAGTAAACAGAACAGCACCTGAGATGGCTACACCACAAGTCTGGTTACTTGTCATCACTTGCCAAACTTGCCTTGCAGCAACAAGAATCTGGGGCTTCTCAAAACTCACAAATTAGTAATTCCTTTTATATGTGCAAACATACACACATGCAAACCACTTGGAGGAAAAATATGAATAATTAAGTATTGAATGCCCTCCTTTTAACAGTGATGTGATCAGATTTCTGTCATTCCTTGGAATTCCTCACTTGAGGAGTGTGGTTTTCAAAGAGTTGTAAATAGTAGTCCAGGCAGAATATTCCAGCTAGCTAAACAGACATTGTAATATATGACTGCGAGGTCATCATCCTCAGTTATGGATGTAACACTAATTTCAAGGGCCCAGAAACAATAGAATTATCTTGGAAAATGACAAAATAAACTTTTTTCTCTCTTAATAGGTAACTTATGATAGTAGGTTAAGGTGGGAAAAATTCCTCATCATATTTTGCCCCTTCTGCCTACTCATAGATGAGCCAAGGCAGTGGTTAGTTGTTCAGAGTTCAGTGAGAAAGAAAATAGGACTCTAGCTGGAGGAAGAGGAAAACAAAAGTCAGGAAGGAAATGGGACATAATTTTCACCATGTCATTCTGGTTTTCTGCTGTTGCATGGGAGCTATGCAGCGTAAGAGCACACAGGCAGTTTCACCCACTGCTTCAGCCAAATACATGTGTCCTGCCTATGACTCAGAACACCAATGACTTGAAACTACTAGCAACCACCACAGAGTAAAAAGGATTAGAGCATCTTCATTAATACACGAGCTTTACAACATTGAGACCTGAATCTGCTATGTATTACTCAGACTGCAGCATGAGTCTTCAAGGTTTCTACAGAGATACTCAGGCTCTCATGGTAGAAGTGTAAATACTCCAGCATACATTGACTTACCTGAGCACAGCAATTTCTTGAACTGTTATAGCCCTTTTATCCTTGGTTCCCATGTAGGAAAATATGTTTGGCTTCACTCTGAAAAGCAACAGTAACAAATATTACATATATTAAAACAGAGTTCAAACATCATTTTTAGTGTCATTACCTAGAATTATTAATCTTTTATATTAAAAATAGAAATTATCCATACATTCCCCAGAACTAGCCTACAATTTTACATGTGTGACGTCTTCAGATCTCATCTCTGAGTAGATAAAACACAGGGAAACTTCTCTGATTTAGAATCATAGAATAGTTAGGGTTGGAAAGGACCTTAAGACCATCTAATTCCAACCCCCCTGCCGTGGGCAGGGACACCTTACGCTAAACCAGATCACCTAAGGCCTTGTCCAACCTGGTCTTGAACACTGCCAGGGATGGAGCATTCACAACCTCCCTGGGCAACCCATTCCAGTGCCTCACCACCCTAACAGGAAAGAATTTCCTTCTTATATCCAATCTAAACTTCCCCTGTTTAGGTTTTAACCCATTACCCCTTGTCCTGTCACTATAGTCCCTAATGAAGAGTCCCTCTCCAGCATCCCTATAGGCCCTCTTCAGATACTGGAAGGCTGCTATGAGGTGTCCACGGAGCCTTCTCTTCTCCAGGCTGAACAGCCCCAACTTTCTCAGCCTGTCTTCATATGGGAGGTGCTCCAGTCCCCTGATCATCCTCATGGCCCTCCTCTGGACTTGTTCCAACAGTTCCATGTCCTTTTTATGTTGAGGACACCAGAACTGCACACAATACTCCAGGTGAGGTCTCACAAGAGCAGAGTAGAGGGGCAGGATCACCTCCTTCGACCTGCTGGTCACACTCCTTTTGATGCAGCCCAGGATACAGTTGGCTTTCTGGGCTGCAAGCGCACACTGCCTAGAAAGCCATTACACATAGACAGATTCACTTTTACCACACCTGTGCTTTCAGAATATAAGCTCTGAAGTACTTCTTTGTATTAATTCACTCAATACCCAAATGCAGAGCTACCATTAATTTAGCTGGAAAAACCCCATCTATGCCCATTTCTTCCTTAAACTTCAATAACAGGTCTGTCTGAATACCATGCATGCATGTTACATGAGAATTTGAAAAGGTAATTTAAAATACGATGTACTTCTTTCCTTGAGAAGAAAATTTCCTTGCCTTTTCCACTTCGTAGTTTACAGCCTGTGTTACACAGGAATATTCCCAGTTATTCCAGGTATGGGCACCAGGGGGTAGCAAGATTGCCATTACATACATGTTTCTACCCAACTATGCTCCTACCATTCTGTTCTCAACTAGTAGTAGTATACTGGTTGAGTCTAGATTACAAATGTTTATTTTTGGACAGGAAGGGGGAAGGGAAAAGGAGGGGAGAAGTGGGAAAGTTTCTCTGTGAGTAGATCACTGAATTGACCCAATTTTAAAATAATCCTTCCTCTGCAATTCACTGTGTTCTTGTCACGCCTTTGGCAAATCTTGTTGCTGCACTTGATGGGATGAAAAGTACTAGGATTGTGTTGCCATGGAAAAATTAATACATGTAAGAACACTTTACGAAGTGTAACTGCTTAGGAACTGATCAGCATATTATCACAACAATATCTGACAGGTTCATAACATACTTGCATTTATTCACACACTGGGGAAAAAATAGCTTTTAATTCAGGATACGCACATCAAGGCTTTGAGCAGCCAAGCCTTCCTTAGATCTTCAGCTGTGGACCTTTTCCCACTGAAGCACTAGAGGACAGTCCTTTAAATTTGGGGGATTATTTTGTTCCATTCTCACCTCTTTCCAAAATGCACAAGTGTCGAATTTAATATTATCAAATAACTTTTCTAAAACCACTCGGTACAAACTAGGCAACAGCCAGCACTGTGCTGCTCTTCCATAACCCTGAAGCACAATATTTGCAGCAGGATGAAACATATACAGAGGGAACGCTCCATGTCACCCAGGCTGGCAGAAATAACAGCCTTACCTTAAAAATTTGGATAGGACATTAATGGCATCCATGGTATCCTTGTTCTCCTTATATAGGACAAAGTGGCAGTAGCTTCCCCTAGATTTTGGCCAAGAGTGTTTTCTTGGATCTTTAAAAACAAAAAGTTCAAATTTGTAAAGTGACATTTTTTTTGTTTAATCAATATATTTGCCATTGCAGCTACATTTAAAAGAACATGCAAGAGTTAATTTCTGCTGATTTCCATCTGCTTTGAAACAAGAACAAGTTAACTGCTGACAGCGAAAGCTGCAAAAGGACCTTCTCCCCCTTTCACAGGGCTGTAAACTTCTCTTTAATAAGTTCTGTCGCCTAGAAAATCTTCATTGAAATTACGACAGTTTCTTTGTCAAGAAATTATCTACAGATATACCCTACTCATTTAACCGACATATTGCCTGATCATACTTTCCCCAAACATTATCATTACACTGACTTTGAGCAGTGAAAGCCACTCCACATTCTGTCTAGGGCCTTCTACAAGTAACAGATGAGGACCACTGGAGCCCTGTTTGTGGGAAGACTAGTTATTTTTTTATAGTTTAACACAAATCTTCATTTCTGTAGGATTTTTTCTGTGTCATGCAAAGCATGGGTTGTATCTCTACAAAAGCCTAGAAAAAAGTATACTCACAAAAAAAATACTTTATTTCTAAGTCCTATGGGACAGAAAAATTCATGCCAGATACTGTGTCATATTTAGAGAAGGGCATGGGATAACTTCAATTCCTGCAGACTAACAACTGATGTGCAATTCTGCACAATCATTTGGCGTTTCCTGGAGGGGGAAGAAAACTGTGAATGAATCTGACAAGTTTTTGCTGCACATAAAAGCCTCCAGAGATAAAACTTTTGCTTTACAATCATCCACTGCTGATGGCATTACTGGGAAGGGGGACTGATTCTACACAGGTTTAGCAACCAATTCTGAGGTGACTTTATCAATTCTTTGTTTTATAGGAACAAAACTAAGGATTTCTTTTGTTTTAAATGAGAAGTCCCTTATCTCTGGGTAGCCACTAAGCAGACATTCCTGGTGTTGTACATAAAGGGCTTAGGCTTTTTCACAACAGCAAAACCTAACTTAAAAAGCCAGTCCTATTCTAGTAACAAACCCCAGTGCAGGAAGGAAGCTCTTGGGAAATTTTGCTCTTTTCGTTCAGTTAGTTTAATAAAGCCCAGATACCCCACACAGACAGTGAATGTTTAAGTTGCAGGAAACGTGTGGGTAAAAGGTAATTCCTCTTGCCTTTTTAGAGAAGCTGCCATCCATACACACACTTCTGAAAAACATTTTGGATGCTACGTATAAAACACTATGTGCAAAATTTTTAATCACTGAAAAATTATTGCAACATTTGCTTTGTACCGTCAGTTTCTAAGCAAAACCACCCCCTATGGAGTTTCCTAGGACCTAAATGGAGCAGCACGGCCCAAAGCCTGTCAAGAGACCTCATGCTCCTGACGGTCTCCCTTCTGAGCCACCACTGCTCTTAAACACAATCAATGAAACACTGTGTTGAGCTTGAAGAGCAACATCCTCCATGAAGAACTCCGTAATTTGAAGGAAAGAGAGGAAGGCAGAGCATGATTCACAAGGAAAGTCTTCTCCGGTTGGAACTGTTCTTCAGCTTTAACTAATCCATCTTGCACATGGTCATTTCAACACGCTTCAAACAGGGAGCCCTAACCTGGGCTAGACTAAAAGGGCTCTGTAGACACTCCCTGTACCAAAGGGCTCTTCACGCTCTGGGCATCACAGCCATGTGCCCATCCACCACACTGCCAGCCACGCTGCAGCTCCAGTCCTGATAGTTAACCATTCCTCACCCAATGCTTCAAAGTATTGAACTGGGTAGGTGGACCAGAGGGACAGATTGCAGTCCTCATTGCTACGTTGCAGAGTCATGTTACGTTTTTGACAGCAAAATACTTCCAAGCCCTTTTTCCCAACCTTTTGCTGCAACTCAAGGGCTGGAAGCTCTGTTTTAATATCAGGAGGTATCATATATACTTTTAAAATCGCATAAATACATATATTTATGCCCAAGGCTGAAGGGCAAAGGCTTGGCTTAATGAAATCAAGGGGAAATATACCATAGATGTCAAACAATATTGGCAAAACTGACCATTCACATCACTCGCTACTGATGGACTTTCTCTGCACCAAGTGACTGCTGCCTATACTGCACTAGAAAAAAGATGCAGCACAAGCCCAATTCTTGGCTGTTTCAGGGAATTTTAAGTATTACTTAAGTGCAGGGGTTTGGGGTTTTTTAAAGAATTAATTGTAACTAGTTTGGCCAGTCTTGACGCTATTTAGGAGGTCGGCATGGTTGGCATTTCATTTTGTTAGCATGAAATGTCAACATCTCTTACCTGTTGCAGTTCTGACCTCTGTCCCAATGCATAGCATAAAGAGCACAAAAGAGTAGCATTTAATTTTTAGACTGTCGAAGGGGTTTTAGAGGTGAACATGCAGGTTTATGGTTATGGGTTTGTTTATGCTTTAGGGAGCATCCAACAGTTAGGTGGTGGATGACAGCAATTTAGACAGTTATGCAATGGAATCGTGCAGAGGCAAACAGTGAACATATGGAAAGCTTCAATTGGAGATGCAACAAACTTCATTTGTGGACAATGACGGAACAGCAGCTTACTGACAATTTAGTGAGACAGTAGTTTAAGAATTTTGGGTGTAAACTTACTACATACACAAAGTAGCTTCTAATTTTAAATTTTAGGGAAATATGTTTGGTAATCTTTTACATTATCAACAAAAATAATCAGGTATCTCAGCTAATATTTGAATACTCTACACTTCTGAAATGCTTCTTGTTTGGGGAACCCACTCAGGACTAAGACGTGTTAGTGGCTTCATAAACACAAAAGATAAATCTAATCCTGACTAAAAACCCTTGCACTCTTGAAACTACATTCACAAGCATTTACACACACTCACTGAAACTGCACACATCTCCATGCACGGGTATTTGTAGCATCACAACTAAAGAATCCAAGTTTAAATAGATGATGCTTCTCTGCATCACAAGATGGTGCTCCAGATAATGTTTTAATCCTAGAGACACATCACTAAACTCTTCTCAGCACATTTCAAATAATTAAATTCTCTTATACAGTATCTCTTAGATCAGACTGGTCAGCTTAGTAACAACCACTTGATTGTAACAATGATTAAAAAATAGAAGGAGCAGAAGGAAAAGGTGGAGGTAAAACCGTTTCAGACCAACGGAGAACAAAACTGGCTGAGGAGGATTTTGTGCTGGTAAGTTACATACTCCATGCATAAAGCATGCAAACATACAAGTTTTCTAAACATGGTTAAACAAGATACATAAACACATTATAATTTTACCAACAAAAGTACAACATTCCCATATTTGTCTAGAATGAGCCTTAAAAAAAAAAATAACTGAATGTGGAGATGGTGTTATTTCCAATTTTAAATTATCTCCTTAACCTTTCTCCATCTCCTCCATCTTTAAAATGAAAGGGCTTGGTTTACATACTGTCATTTGTGATAGGCTGGTATGACAGGAATGCTATCACTTTAAACCAAACTAAACTAGTATCTTTAGTTAAATGTGCAATACTCTACATGTAAACAATCCTCGCAACTTACAGCGGCAACAAATTTCCAGTAACATTAAAAGATGTAGAACACACGAATTCATCCCCAGTAACCAAAACAGTATTTCGTAAGATGAAGGTGAATAACATTTAATTTTGAAAATCCTTCATTACTTTGATTGTTCCAATAGTAACTGTGATTTATAATGAATAAAGACAATTTTCTGCAAATGTAAGTAACCTTGGAAGCAGAAGCAGCCTTAAAAATCATGGTAATTATATTATGTTTATATAAACCTATAAACCTGAGACAAAAAATAGGTGCTTTTCTCTATTCATGTCATTAAGAATTTTGTCACGGATTTTCAAGACAATCAAAATTATACTGCCCATCAGTGTAATGCACCCATTTCAATTACGACTTCTTGCTTCCACAATTCACTCTTAAACATCCAGGTATATTCATGAAAGCTAAATTCAAACAAAACCCTACAAAGCCCCTGCTCTGCCTATTCCCACTGAAACAGCAAAAGGTCCTCTCACTTCTAACACAGTTGTATTTGATGAATGATTTGTAAAGAAAAACAAGTAGAAATTTTAATTTGAGACCCTCCTTGTGTTCCTGATCATTACAGAAGCACTGCATCAGTTGCAAAGAGGAAAAGGCAAAGCCACACTACATTAGGAGGTACACTCCACTTGAAGGAAATACTTACTAATGATTCTTATTTCGGGCATAATTTTAACATTTACTTTACCCAGCTACTGTGACACTCAAACTCACTTGCCAGTGCTTTCTTCCCAGCAGCGTGATAAGCAATAATGTATTTTTTTCCATCTCGATCTTCTGTTTTAGTCTCCAGTCCTGGAAACAAGGACTTCACAGCCTGGTGGATAACTGTTCTTTTTTCTTTGGTGTCTTCAACTACCTGTGTTAACACACACGCATGCAGAAACCAAATAAAGTAATGAAAAATGGGAGGTATTCTATCAGAGTTGAATTTTGCATGCTTAAAGAAAACTCACCAAATCACACCAAAGTGGTGACTAGGAATACTTTTAAAAGTCTGGCCTGCTTATAATTAGTTTGAAAAATAATAAATAACTCTGCTACAAATCCCTGTCTCGACATTCACAAAAGAAAACTCTCAAGATTTATTCCCCTCTTCTGCGCTTAATAAATTTCTCTCTTCTAATTAAATCCCTGGAAAAATGAAGTTTTTCTGTAAGTGTTAAAGGGGGAAAAAAAAGGCTAAATAAGATTATGTAATGTGTGAATGCTTATTTGAGATTACCAAATTTAATCCTAGCAATCTGTGTCCCAAATTTAACTCAACAGTTATTCTGCAAGTATATAGAAGACTTGGATGTTTGAAAATACCAAGTTTTAATTTCAATTTGTACCTTCTTATTTTTCTTGCTACTGAAGAGTGTATCTTCTTTTCTATTAGATCACTAAACACTGACCTTGAAAATAGTCTTTAGTCTTTCATCAGGGTGGATATTTTACTTAATCCTTCTTGCATAATTATTCTATAAAACAATACTAGACAGATATATACTGCAAGGAAATTTTAACACCACAGTAAATAAGATGTGTATTTGAGTTCATGTGTATAGTCCCACTGAAATCAAAATGACAAGTCATATGCATGAATTTGAGTATTATCTGTAAAGCTTTACATAATTAAACCCTAAACTGGAAATACTTCGGTATTACCTGCTGCATCATGTTCAAATTGCTCTGATACCTTACATGCACTAGGAAGTATGTATCTTCCATTCACTCCCCCTCCCGTCCTCTGTCCTTCCCCCCAATTTCATATCATTTATTAATTTTACCTCTATGGCAACACTAGTTTCCTTATTCTTAAAAAGCTGGAGCTCCTCTAAACGCTGCTTGTCTTCATCTGACAAAACTGTAAATGTTTCTTCTGATGGGTCCTAATACATATTGGGAGGGGGAAAAAAGAAACATCCAATAATCCTCATGGAACAACTGTCGACCTTTTAATGGTTTTGCTTTACCAAATATTAACCTCAAAATTTACCTCATCATCCACTGGAACAGTAAAGTCATCTAAATGGCTCACACGTCCATCTTTGCCTATTTCATGGACAACAAAGTCTGAGTATCTGACAGGAAGAAGTAAGTATTAAATTTGTAATAAAATGAAATAAAAATCCCACATCACACAAAGTCATTTCCCAAGAAGCTGTTTGCCAGCAAAATTCACTCAATTCAGAATTCACACAATTCAATTCATATAAAAGAAACCTGAACCATGAGAAAGCTGTGCCTATTTCCACCCCTCAGAAGGATACCACAAGAACACAGAAGTTAGTCGGGCCTATTTAAACACAGCAGACTTCTTTGCAGATTGCCAAAAACCTGCTGTAGTTATTCTGAGTCATTTTCTTACTAGCTTTCAAAGATCTGTAACATATATCCTCAATCCCAGTCATTACTGACAATTGATACTCTACTGCATTGCTACAATGTAAATACAAATGCATTAACTCTGTCACTTCAAATAACCTGCAGAATAAAGTACATTAGCAACTCTTAAGGAAAGCAAGACAAATTCAGCTGTTACATACATTCAGTTATAGAAAACATCTTTCGATTTAACAGTTACTCTATGCAAGCAACAAAGAATTTGGGAAATTTTCAATCAAGTCACTATGTCCAGTAATAACATCTAATAGAGCACAATCTAGGTTGGAACTGCTACATGATTTCTACTGAGCATTTGCTTGTAAAGGAGAAAAAAAAAAAAAGGAAGAAAAAATTTTTAGCCTGTGAATGTTGAAAGATGAATAAAACTTCACCATGGGAGTGTTTCGACTGTATCTCTCACAAGCCCCCATTTGCCATCTCTCTGTGCAGTATCTTCTATTGGTAGAATTCCTTCCTGAGGAGTGTTTCAGGTCCTCTCTCCTATTATCTCTTGCTGTCTAGACATGCTAGTGACTGGTACCGTAAAAACGCCAGGACTAAATTAATGATGCATGTTATAAACTAGGATCAAAGAAAAACTGTAAGCCCTCAAACGGTTTTAACACCTGGCTACCTTTGGCCACCTCAGTTCAAAACTGGCAGATTTCCCAAAAGAAAGTTCAGCACAGACTGTGCTCCCCAGTGAAGGATTATGCCAGCAACTTAATGCTGCATAGAAAGATTAAATATATACTAAATATGCGCACACCATTTTATTATGTAAAATGATCTAAATATTAAGCCAGTATTTAAAAACGGGGACTTCTATTTGTGCAAACAAAGCATCCTTATCTGCTCTGCTAAGTCAGGGCAACAACGATTCTGACTTCAGTGAGTTTTTGTATTTGCATTTTGCTTTATTCAAAGATGTTATTTAATAAAACCAAAGTAAAATCCCAAATTAAACCTTTCTCTCAGTCCTAGCACCAGGAAAAGAAAATGATGCACCTCTCACATGGCTGCACATAACCCAGTTGCATCTTGTGAGTCAGAAAGGAAAAGAAAGAACAATAGCTGCTTAACAAAAGGTATTAACATACATAAGAAGACAAAGAATTACCTCTCTTTCAAGATTCCAGAAAACCCTTTATGAGAACTAACAAATTTAGTTATGCCAACATCACTTTCTGTCAGTCCATGCTTCATCATGTCTGCAAAGCTCTCTGGATCTCCATCTTCATCACTGTCTTCTAGTTCCTCATCTTCCTGCTCCTCACTTTCCTCATTGGGGATTATTTCATTTTTCATGTTCTCAAGCAGAGATTTGTCAGGTTGTTCTGTTACAGTCTCAGTGCTTTGCCCAGAGTCATTCTCTGTCTTAGACTTCTCTGAGATCTTCTGTCTTTTAACTTCATCTGCATTAGCCACACCATCCTCAGAGTGAGGACGTTTCAGGGATACACTATTCTTTTCTACAGTTTCCATGTTTAAGGCACAGTGTAAGATAGAAAGCCCTGAGGAGCAAGAAGAATGGCTTATTTCTTGTCTGCTTAAAAGCAATATCAATACATAGTCTCTTCACTCCGAGGACTCTGCCCCCTGCAAGAGTTCAGGAAAACCACATAACTTTCCGCATTTTAAAGTTAAACATCAAGATTTTGTACAGCTAGAAACAATATGCACTCGGGAGGAGAGAAGGGAGATGTTAAGGGAACTTAATACTCACCCTAGGCAGCATGCGCTCTACAGAAGAGCGGGATCCAATATTACACTGACCATATATCACCACCGTCAACTACTACCACAGCTGCATCCATGCACAGAAGCTCTGTCATTAGCAATTTAGTGCCTAAGACACTGCTTGTTCCCAAGCCTTCTATTATATGACTACTCTTGAGTATTCCTTTTTCTATCAAGATTCCATCTTCTAAAGATCAAGAGAGGATGGTTCGATTCCCCCAAACCTGAAGTCTCATCTCTTCCTTTTCTATGTTCATCTCTTCTAACACCCACAATCCCACATGGAACTCAAGGTGGCAGCAATTCAGACCAACAGATAAAGGGATGAGATACCAAAATCATCGAATGACTGGAAATAACAGAACAACAAGTAGGTTAAATGATCTCCAAGAAGCACATGACTACTCACGCTGGTAGAGCAGAGGTGTTATTGTTCCCTGGTAGTGTGAGCTGCCATCTTTGTGTCAGCAGAGCTAGCACCTTCAGATCTGAAAAACAGAGGAAAACTAGTTATTTGAGAAAGTTTTAGGCTAAAAAAGAGAAACAAACTATGAATATACGAATGTGATTGTTATAGAAACTGGTCACCTCTGAAACCAGGTATCAGCAGCTGTATAGGAACAGACACAACTACTCAGACAGACAAATTAATAACAAACACAATTGTAAAAGTGTAACTAACCCAGTGACATAACACCGCTATTTAGCAAGCTACAGCAGAGAAGTCTGGTTTTATTTCTGTGTATATGAAAGGAGACTGGAGTTCCTATAATTAGGCAGCTGCAGGACCTTTCTCTCACACCACCCAACTGGCACACTCATATAGTGGGGATAAAGTGCAGGTTTTGGGGGCTGCATGGGGGGAGCCCATCAACTGCCCTGTGCTGGCCATGCCCAGTTCCAGCTGGGTCCACAATGGACCAAACTCACCACCTGCCAGAACTCCAGCTCATCAGATGAGCCCACCGTGCCTCTGCTCCAGCTTGGTTAAGAAAGGGAGAGGCAGCTGGTGGCAGAAAGTGCAACAGGAAGCAAAGGAGGAGGCACGTGAAATGTGCTAAAAAAGACATGGGAGGATGCATGGGAAGAGAACAACTGATGGTGCACTCTTGGAAGAAGGATCTTCACAGGGACACCCCTGAAAGGACTGCAGCCTGTCAGGTGCCTACACTGGGACAGGGATAACATGGAGGGGCCCACATGGGAACAGAAGAAATGAAAAAGGAGCAACCCTCCATGGACCAACGCCAACCTCCTGCACTCCCGCTGCCTCACCGATGAGACAGAGTGTAACCCAGAAGACAACCAGGGGATGGGAGATGAGGAAACCAGGGGAGGGGAGGTACCTGCAGAGAAGTTGAGCCTGGGGAAGGGGATCTTCTTGGGAAAGGAGTTTTCCCCAGGTGTTATACTGGTGGTCTGCTTTGTATCTCACTTGCCAAATCAGTAATTTGAAATGTATGTTAACTGGCAATACGTTAAATTCCCAATTTAATTGTAATCAGGACAGTTCTGCCCACAATTAGAAAATCAGTGTACCCTCAGGCAGAAAGCATGATTTCAGTTTGTTCTCAAATAAAATGAAAATACATAAAATCCTTTAAAAAGAAAAAAAAAAAAACAACCAACAAACAAACAAACAGAAACCAAAACCAAAGCCAAGAGAAGCAGCTCACCACTATTTCCAGATTCTCCTACGTACCCGAATTTATGGAGCCGGGGTTACAAAGCACTTATGTGGAAAAGGCTTCTAGATTGCTTGTGAATGCCTTCACATGGCAACCAAAACACCCCTCAGCACAGCAAAGTCCTCCAAGACACCTGCAAAGGAGGTAACGAGAGACTTACTTTTCTGACATAAAACTGTGATACCTAGCTCCTGAATGATACAAACTGGTAAAACAATTCAACACTGGCCACAAATACTCCAAAGTTGTCAGACACGGCCTATTCTCACAGCAGAGGAATGACTTACACCAAAGCACCACCCTGTGCCAAATGGGCGCCATAACCTGGGAAACTTTCTGCAGGGTAATTGCTCAAAGGAGCAAACTGAACTGAGTAAGGCACACACATTCTCACTTGACCAGACTGCTAGTGAGAGGGTAGTGATTGCTGCTCCACTGTTTCAGTCCTCCTAGCAAACAGGTGTTTCCATAAAACCCAGAATCTGCATAAGCAACAGTTCCACAGCAATTTCAACACAGACAATGTTTTAGCAGAAACAGGATTTGCTACTATAAATAAAGGGCTTGATTCTCGCCAGCAAGAAACGCTGACTGATGACTTTTGGTGTGGTACCTGTCGAGCAGACGCATGGACAGGTAGGGGCTACGGGGCACTTCATATTTAAAAGGGGTAAATAAAGGAGTAGGAGCACGCCAGCGCTGGGTACGGAGCTCGCTTCTCACGAGAGGAGGCAGATCAGATTAAAAGGCAACCGACGGGAGCGCACGACGATACCGCAGCGCCCGAAAGCAGCCCCTTCCTGCGGGCGCAAGGAGCAGTTCCTAGCTGGGAGGGCAGCCACGGCCATGCGCGCAGGGAGCGGGCCGGGCCGGGCCGGAGGCGCAGCGCCAGGTCCAGCGGCCCGGCTCCGCCGCTGCCAGCCCCGGCGCTACCGGGGCCGGTCGGGAGCAAGTGAGGGGCTGGGCAGGAGAAAGGGGCTGCTGGTGGGCGTCCCTGCACCACGCGGTTGCTGATCGCCCGCTGTGGGCACACCGGAGAGGACCAGGAGAGCCTGGCGCAAGCGGGGTAAAGTTGCCCCGAGGCTGAGCCCCTCATCCGCCGCCGCCCTGCCCCAGCGCCCGGCCCGGGAGCGGGGAACCTGGAACCGGCCGCGCCGCGGAGGCCGCGGCTCCCGCCCAGCCGCCAGCCGCAGAGCACTGGGCGGCTGCAGCTGCCGGGGGAGGGCGCGCCACTGCCGGCAGGGCCCGGGGAGGGGGACGCCACTTACCCGTACGCCAGCACGGGAGGACGGGCCGGGTGCCAGCGCCGCGGGGAACGAGGTGGCGGCGGCGGGAGCGAGCGCCGCGGGCCCGCCCTGGCTCCGCGTGTGCGGAGGCGGCCTCCTGCCTGCGCCCGCCCCTGGCCAGCCCCATTGCTGCGGCAGCGCGGCCCGGCCTGGCCCGGCCGGCGGGGAGCGCTCCTGCCCTCCCGCAGCAACCATTTGCTGGCGGCAGCGCCTCCGCGTCCGGGCCGGTCCCGCAGAGCCACCGCTTTTTGGAACGGGGGTAAGGCGGGGAGTCACCCCCGGAGCCCAGTGCCCATAGCGGAGCGGCTGTAACAGGGCTGCTCCGGAGAGAGCGGAAGGCGGCGGCCCCGGCCCCGGCCCCTGCCAGGCATGAGACGGGTGCGGGAAAGCCGGGGTTCAGGAGATGGTACCTGTGGAGGATAGCTCTTGCACACGGTTCCGCCGCTGCCGGCCTGATGAGCCCGCCTGTGACAGAGGAAACGGGCTTATAGCGTCGAGAGGGAGCAGACGAGAATCTACAGGAGAACACCAACTCTGCGGAAAAAGTTTAATTTTCAAGCTGCAGCAGTAGCTGAAGCAGGAGTCACGTACACGAGACACAGGCCTTCCTGAGCTGCCCGAGCATTGGAAACAGATTGTGCTAATTGAACACTAGCCCCAGGACATTGATGTGTTCAAGAACCATTTCAAAACCTACACCTACTATGCAAATCATGCTGCCATTTTAAAACTAAGTAAACTCAGGCTGGATCGAGACCATGAGTCTTTCTGACTTCAGAATGTCACCCTCTACCCTTCTTTCCATTTTAAGCGGTGGTGCACAGACCCATCTTTTCATTAACTACAACACGTATGGTTTGGCTTTACTTTAAGGATGTGTTGTATCTGAGCCCTAGCCAGCCTCAGACTTCCTCTTTGCCAGGCCAGTAACACCACTTTAGTTTCTCATGCTTCCCATTCTCTAGTTGTATTCTACTCAGAACACTCATACATGATGAAATAACTGCTGTGTGTATATGGGGGCTTATTTTCTTATTCCTTGTACTTACTTTCTTATTTCACTGCAAGAGGCGAATGCTTTGGTTTGGATTTAAAAAGTCCCAGGTATGTATGTGTTGCTCTAAGGCCAGCTTATAAAAAACCACATGGAAATGCATGTTGCTGTTAGGAAGGCAGGAACAAAGATTTGTGGCTATCCTTAGTTCTAAGTGGAGATGGATCCAGAGAGATTTATGTTATTATGTTCTACGGGATCAAAGTTTTGTCTTTATCACAGATCTTTAGTTCACCCCTTGTCCACCTTCCACACTTGGAATTTAACCTACTGGAAACCAGTAGGGGTAACAGGAATGGGTTACATATGCTCCTGTGAACAGGTCAACAGCAGACTGCAACCAGCAACACATTAGTAATTGATGAGTCAGATTATAGTACTTGTGATAACTGCAGCATACCAAGGAATCCTGAGCAAGGGCTGCTACTGTCCAACACCCTGTGGTACGCTGCCCCAGTGGTAGGAGAAATATGAAAAGAGCTATGTGCCTTTTGATCGTTGCTGTCATCTGACCGGTCACTATAGCTGTGGCATGTTGATGTTGAAAGTCAGTTCCTTCACCTCTCCCAAGTAGATACAGTATCTGGCTGGGGAGATCCTTCAGCAAGAATTCTACCATGCATTGATCCAACTTTCTTTCTCATGTAACTTTTTGCTTCTTTTATCTTGTACAGAAGTTCCCTAAAATACTTATTTTTCCTCCTCCAAATTCTTACATTAAGTGCCTCCCTGTTTACAAAATCCTTGTCAGTAATTAAATAGCTTATATGTTACAATCTCTGCTTGGTATAATTACCCTACTATTAGTTCTCCCTGTTGACTGTGTTTATCTTCATCTACTACCATCAGCTCTGATAAAATTTGGAGTGTATGAAGTGCCTTATACAGTGAAGAACCAGAATTATGAAGGACCTGCAGGTGCTACCACAAGGTAAATAGCTACTAAGATCATTATTATGTATTTCTCAAGTTTTCTAATATATTCAGCAAAGTTTATTACTCCTCTCTCAATACCTATAAGCAATCTCTGACATACTAGAGAACTATGTCTAAGATTCTACAGACAGAATCCTTGAGGCCATCCTTCGTATGGCTCAGGGGCTGGAAGGAGGGAATCTGTAGTTCTGCTTCTGAGATAAAACTGAGGCATTCTGGCAAGCAGACACCATCAGTACTTAAAAGATGTCTTTGCTCAGTCACCATCTGTTATGGTCTAACCCTGATGTGGTTTCCAGGTGTGGTCTGCAAAGGGCACAGAGTCGTCACCATTTTCTTTCCATTAGTCAAGTGCTTCTTTTACCTGCAGAAGTATAGTGTAAATAGAATAAGAATAATTACATGGCTGTAACTTTAGCTTGATTTTTTCAGTTGGTTGATTTAACAATTTAAAATACTCTATTATAAATTATCTAATACAACTGTCAGGTGGTATCATTATCATTAAAATATTTGTTTAATCTCAATAAAATGTATCAGCACATTCCCATAGAACCCTTATTTAATGCAACTTAAAGGAAGTTTGTTTTGTGAGAAAAATTATGACTGACCATAGTTATCGCCTGTAATAAGTTTCTAATGTCTTCCTGCCCTCAGGATCCATCCCCAGGAGGGGAAATCAGAATAGCACGTATTGTCAGATGAGAGCATAATTCCAGCTAGGAAGAGAACACAAGTGAGAAGCTTGTTGAGTCAGTCTCTTTCAAAGATGATCCTTGAAAACCCAAAGGTATGAAGTTGAGTTGTTCCCACTCAGTAGAAAAAACCTCGTAAAATAGAGCAGCAATAACTGCACTCACACTTCCTCAGTTTTATGCCTCCCAGGGGCACTGACAATCAGGCAAATGAGTTGTAATTTTACACCTCTTTGCACCAGCTGCTCTTAACCAGTCTGATATTTACCTGTCACTAAAAGCCCCATAGAGAATTAATATGAAAGAACTATTAAAAGCCTGATGTATTTTTCATATGTAGGTTGTTTGCATTTCTAATGCTTATTTTGAAGCTTTGCATGAACCAAAAAGTGGAGGTGATAACTCATAACATGCAAAATCTGAAAGTACAATATTATGGGAAAAAAGGTTTTTTTTTGGAGTTTGAGAACTTAATGCACAATGTAAGTATGTCAGTGAGAAAGCTCTTTGAAGAATGTTGAAAACAATCCAAAAAGTATAATACAGATTTCCACAATAATGACAAAAAAATGGCTTTCAAAAAACACCCTTTTATAGAGCTTTAATAGGCCATCACCTTTAAGCTGATTCTTCCCCTTTTCCCTTCCCCCATGATTTTTTTTTTTTTTATATTAAAAGCTGCTTATATTTCAGTTTCATTTCTCCAAATCCTTGTGTCAATTAATCTGCAATAGGAGAAAGGTGAAAAACATCTTATGGACAGGCAATGAGAATTTTAGTCAGAGAGGACTAGGGGTAATTTTGACCAAGTTGGTTCCTCTCTAGAAAATGAACTATATGAAAGTTGCTGTAAGCAAATTGTCAGGTGCTGTGCTATATACAGGGAAATTTTAAATTAAGAATGTATGTGACTGTAGGAGATTAAGTAAAACCTTAACCATAGGACTGGGAGATAACTGTGAAATACATATTCTTTTTGTCCCTTTGCTTCACTGTGAGGAGTTTGACTCAGGGACATTGTAAAGCTTTGCAGCAGTGTAGACAAAACAGGATGTTGTTGCCCACAGATGAAGGATCTTTGAGTGGCAGCGTTCAGTTTCTGCAGACAGTAAAGAGTGAGTGTTACAAGAAACAGGAGTCTGAACTGGGTGAATAATTAAATATTTCTGCCCCCAGCCACAATTATCTCAGAAGATCTTTCACCTCCAAGGGCTGACAGACCTTCCTGTGTATTTGTGCCATGGGCATGGGAGGAAAAAGCAGCTGGGCGAGGATGCAGAGCCTGAAGTGTGAGCTGGCAACAGGCCTGCTGCTCCTGCTGCTCTCACAAGGGCTGTGGAAAAGTGAGGATGTTGGGTGGTGCTGGGTGGGATCACCTCTGGCTACAAAGCTGCTGCTGCCTCTCATGCAGCAGGAAGAGTGGAAAGCTGCAAAGGTGGAGAGAGAAAATAAGCTATCTTGGCAGCTTGTGCAGGGTATATACCTGGCAGCTTGGTAGCAGAGTGTGCTCTGTAGGTTGTATATGCTTGCCTGCCTTGCCTATGGCTGAACACATTCAAGGCCAGACTGGATGTGCTTCTGAGGAAGCTGATGTAGTTGAAGATGTCCCTGTTCTTTGCAGGCAGTTTAGACTAGATGACCTCTGAAGGTCCCTTTCAACCCAAATTATTCAATGATTCTAAGTTAGAATTGATTTAGAAGGATTTACACAGAGATCAAAGACACAAAAGAGCAAGGGAGCCCCTCCTGTTGAATCATGAGGTTCAGAGTGGACCCCCCTTGCTTCCTAAACCCCTGATGGAGCTTAGGTGCAACTAGGTCCACTCTTGGTCTCAGACTCAGGCAACGGTTTATATCGAAAGGGGTACATGTATAATCAATTAGGATCGCCTAAAGAATCAACGTCCAGGATTCCAGCAAAAGGTGATCTTGATATGAGGTTCTAAAAGTACCAATTCAACTATACTTACTATAGGGTATCTAAATCAATTTAGACACACATGAACCCAGACGCAAAGACAGACAGGTAGATAGATACGAAGGTATACCTGTTAAAAATCCCGCTTGAATTCTGTGAAATAGTCACTTCAAATGTCTCAGAATTTCTCAATGGTTGAGAGTTGAACCTTGAGGAGTGGAGAGTCTTTGGCCCAGGGCCTGTCATCAGCTTTTGTCAGTGGCCCTGCAAACTTCACAAACTTGAGTTTGTGAGTGTCCCAGGCAGAGAGAGATGCTGGTCACAGCCTACTGTGGTCTGGGAGAGCTCAAAGGGCCTCACTTAGGACAACTGCTCATAAGGTCACAAGATGATTTGCTTTAGTCATTAGTAAATTTCCACCTTGGCCACAACCGGAGTACGTATTTACTAGCTGGCAAAAGTTCTGATACAA